GGAGGGCACGGGGTCGTATTTCCGAAAATATTCCCCAGCGGCAGAACGTGCCCTGAACCGAACTAGAGCCTTCCCGCTGGGTATTCCACAACGTAAGACGTGCTCTGTCACTTACAAAAGGACGATGGTGCGATGGATGGCACCACTTGGCTGGTGATGACCCTGGCCCTGGCTAATCATGACCAAGACTAACGCCCTTTTCATTGCGATTTCTATTTCATTGTGTAATCGTTTCCGATGTCCGATCCATTAAGTGTGGGTGTGTGTGTCATATAGTATTTGGCGTAATTTGATTGATTGCGACTGCGAAGTTGTGCAGGTGCGACTCCGCCTATGTCATCATTTCTCGACATCGACTTCGTGGTCATCGTCACCCTCTCTCTCTCTCGCCATCATTTTTCAAAATCATCCATGAATTTTTCGTCCTTTTTTTTCTGAGTCACCTTGTTATCTGAACCTTCAATCTTTTGGGAAATTTTTTCCATGTTCGTTTTCGGTTCGTTTGCGTTACGACTGATGGCTGTCTCATTAGTTATCGAGGGTGGGTGTCTGCCGAGGGCCGTTTCGTGCTGGTTGCACGGCCAAAAAGCGCAATCCTGTCGATTCAGCATTGTGTGGCTAGAGTTTTTCCCCATACAAAACACATCACCACACTCTCTCTCTTTCTCTCTTCCAACACCACAATACACCCATCCATAGCATGTTTTCGAATTTTCTCTATGGCGCTGCGAAACTCGTATAAGGGGAGGAGAACAGGGGTGGGGTTGGACGGAGCCATAAGGTGTTCAGTCATCACCGAACGCCGTTGAAATAACCGTATGTCATGTTCGAAAACCGTCCACTTCTCCACCCCTGCCCTCCCCTCCCCAACGGTCCTCTATCCTTTCGTTGAATTTCTCGCGTGCTTTCGTGATCAACGTTTTAGCCCTTAAAGAGTGCTGCACACTTGTTCAGGATTATGGAGTCCACAGAGGAGCAGCAGCCAGTGGTTCGTATGCGTGGGCGACCACTCAACGACACAAACGGCGCTCAATCTGCACTTCAACGAGGCCTTGAAGCACTTCAGGAAGGATCTGAAGACGTAGATGGTGAGTTTCAAACTCAGCACTTTTTCAACTGGATCAGCATAAAGCAAGTTTTTTTTTCAGAAATTCGCAAACTTGACTCTCAACTAGACCATCTGAATGATTACATGTCCAAAATGGAGGAACGGCTTAAGTTGCATAATGAGAAGCTTATGGAGACACTTCGACAACAAAAAGAGGAACGCGAGAAACGTCGGCGTAGCTTCCACGAGGTATGTAATGTAATATGGCGGGGGTGGCGTAGTGGCAGGTAGCGCTTATCACGCGCACGGTCTTGGGATGAAATCCTGGGTCGACTCCCGCCCAGGCCAACCAAGCCTTCTACCCTCCGGGGACGGTAAATTGGTACCAGATTCGTCTGGGAGGATAAAACACTGACTTGTACATCGGCTGGCCTCCGAAAGTCACTGTTTACATCACATCGCCTTAAAGGCAGTTGGCACGATAAATCCCCCAAGACGACTAGGATTACTCCTGGCAGGATAGAATTCCGCGACCCTGGGCAGGCGCTGCATAGCGGTTTCCCCGAGGAAGGTGCCCTTATAAGGGCCCTATCAAGCCACAACTTTACGTCCCAAACGCCCGCCACGCCCGCCCGCCCACAAATGGACGACCGTTCCTGACGCTCGTATTCATTCATTTGCCAAAGCAAATTATGAAGGCGAAGGGATTGGTATGAAGCGGTCGTGATGCTGCATGCAGGCAGTATGGGTGCAAATATGCAGTCGTATCTTCGGTAGCGGTGATTGGTAAGATGCCTACGGGAAACTCGTCCCAAATCGACTTTACAAGTCACTGAGAACGGAGGCTTTTTCTTCGCAGGATTTTAACCGTTTCACTCCGTTCTTTCGCCATTTCCCCACTATACAGCGCCCTACTAGCATTTTAGGCTAAGTAGGAAACCATCGTGCCAACTGCCTTTAAGGACAGTTCCCGCGATCAAAAGCGATCCGCGAGAAATACTCTTTGCATTTGACCGTCGTTGTTCGCATTCACAGAGAATATACCACTTTCACTAGAAACGGTGACCTGAAGGAGCTAAAGACGCGTGATTATTGCGACCATTGCAACCGCGCGGACGCAATTTCTTGTGCGAAGACAAGCGGCTTACAAGCGCGAATTGGCGTACGTACATAAGCGTTTTCCTCTGAGCGGTCCGTAGGAAATGATTTCTGTGCTGCTGCCGGAGATCAATTGCACGCTAATCCTGCTGGGGTTACACGTCGAATCCTGCTGATTGGGCTTACCGACGTTCGACAAACCTCACTCCTAAGGGGGGGGGTCTCTTTTCAGAGTGTTCCTAAAAGTTTTTCCTCTCCTTTCTCTACTGAGGAATTGATTAGTGCTGGCTCATGACTGAGCACCTACTGAGAACTTTAAATAAGGTCACTACGATTCTGAATGGAAGTAGAATGCGTGCCGCACCCTAAAAATGATCGAAGAACGGTGAAGACTTTATCGTATATCCCTTAGGTAATGTACTTTCCTCTCCCTTCTATTCCTCCCCACCATCTCCCTCATTCCCCACTCCTTTGCAGAATGCGATGGAATTCTCGATAGCCTCCGACGCCTTCTGTTCAAATGCCTCGTTAAGAGGCTTTTTCGGCTATTCGACGTAATGAGAACAGTGGAATCGTCGTTATATGATTGATTGAGACGTTCTCGGTCGTCTTCGTCGTCGCGTTGTCGTTGTCGCTGCCCCAGTTTGACTTTTTAGAGCAGAAATTGTATACGAATATGTATGTAATACGATCTCGATTGGTATCCGACGTCTTTTCTCCCCGTCTTTGAACTGAAACGACCTTCATAAAATTATTACATACGCCAAGTAGTAATGGGCGGTATCAATTTGTCCCTTACGAAACGTGATCGTTTCACATTCCCTCGAATGCATTCATCGACAATTGTTGGAAACCAACTGCAACGGATTCGTGTTGTACGTTGGAACCGCAACGATTATGGGAGAGATTGCACGAGTTGTGTGGTTAGAACGTTCCAACCTGCACGTTATCGGCAAAACACTTGGAATGAGCCAGAGGCCAATCAAGGGATTGAATTAGAGCTCATGTGCATATATAAAGGATAAACTCTTTGCCGTAGAACAACTCTCTTTGGGGTCCACGCATTCTACTACCATTCAGAATCGTAGTGACTTAGGCCTGTGCAAAGCGCCGGTCCTGGGTTCAAATCAAGGGTCAATTCCCGCCCAGGTCAGCCAATCCTTCTACCCTCCGGGGACGGTAAATTGGTACCAGATTTGTCTGGGATGGTAAAAACAGTGATTTGTACGTCGGTTGGCCCACAGAAGTCATTGTATAGGCCACATCGCGTTCAGTAAGCCACAGCAATTCTGAATGAAAGCAGAGTAGGTTTCGCATCCCAAAAATGGATTGATCAACGGCGAATACCATCCACTATCCTTTATGGCCTATGCAGTGACTTGCAGGGAAGAGGGCAGGGAGGAGGGAGGGGAGGTAACTTATGTGCAAATCAGTGCTCTCACCAGATTCGATCGGTACCAGATTCATCTGGGAGGCTAGGAGGTAAAG